ACGATTCTCTTTTCAGAGGTGTAAACAGAGTAGAAAAAAATAACTGATTTATGAGTTGTCATGAACAATATATAACCTAATCCGATAATCCGAGAAGAAAATAAGGACTTCCTGTGAGAAAACATTTCCTTGATAAGAACTAGACGGAATGAAGTAAAACCATAAATAATATACAGGCTAATAATTATGGTTTATTATTTTATTATGGTGACTTGGTTTTAAATAAAAGAACTGTGAAAGAGGGTAAAGAGTGTCATGTTTCTTAATACAGTTGATAATTTAAAAATTTAACGACAGATCCTGCTAAAAGTACACGTCAGTTGGAACACAGTTATTTTTTATAGATTGGTCATCGATTGGTGTGTATTGTTAGCAATATTTTATTATTTTAATGCATAATGTGTTTTGTTTTTACACATTCCAAATGTAAATTCAATAACTTAATTAATTTGCCATAGAAATTAATTAAAATTTGATTTAAACAAGCGATTTAGGATAAGAGCTAGTCAGAAAACTGGAAAGTACAGTTGAAAGTAGAATTACACTTATAGAGAAATGACCAAAGTCGATGCCAACAAAGAGCATTAATCTTTATGTAAGGTATTGGTTGAAATAAAAAAAGCCAGAGTCACGAGTGGGATTCGAACCCGCGACCTTCGGCTAAATACGCCGCATATTTCAACCAATAACTTATATAAAGATTAATTAATTGAAAGAAGAACATTACATTTAAATTGTGAGATTTATTGTTGAGTTTGCGGAAAAGTGTCTTTAATTTGGTCGTTTCCGGTAATTTTGGTTCGCCAATCCTCGCTGTTTTGGTCTGTCAGATATGTTTCGGCTTCTCACAATGTTGGCTTTGTTATTTTTCTTAGTTGAGATACTTCATAATTATGTTTGTTTGTTTAATGTCGTGTTTGTACATTGCAAGATTTTCAAGTATTCTCATTTTTTTGACCTTTTTCTAACGTCTAAAAACAACACGTCGACATCACAAACAGGCTCACCACTGAAGATAGCGAAACAGTAAAGATAGCCAGACCAGAAAAATGTAAAACGACCGTACTGTTGATAACTTTTTTTTTATCTGAACAATTATTCCAGTAATAATTTCTAGCAGACTTAAGACTCCCTAACGGTGGGTGTAAAATTATAAACTGCCCTTTCCCATCTGCGCGGATAAAAAGTGAGTCAGGTCGCATGAAACAAGATGACGAGTCAAGTACTAGACACCAGAACTTCCGGGACCACATGCCCCTTGACAAATATAGACGTAACAATTAACAACTGGTTTCCCCTTAGGTTAATTTAATCAGTTCGTTTAATAGAGATCTATTCGTATGCAAGTTCTTCGTATAATTAACAGTTAAACCATAATTAAAAACAAACGAGTAAACCCCTTTATTCTAAAGAATCCAGTAGGAAGAACTCTTTGCTACTTAAGCTCCATCCAACTATACTGCTTGATCAATACCCTTGGCGGTATTTTCTTTATAGGGTCTTTTCAATAGACATTGTACCAAAAGGGGCCGAAATGCTAAATACACCTGTCGGGAAATATCGTATGACAAGGACAAGAGGCTGAAATCTACCTTAGTGGTATCAAAGTTTTGTACGCGTGGGAATAGCTCTCATATCACAAATGTACGTCCATAGCCATCCGCGTGTAGGCTGCTTTTTTACCTGGGCTATACATAGCCATGCAATTCCCACCTTTCAACAAACTTTCACAGAAATACTGATTGAAATCATATCCATGGATCAACTTCGATATTTGTTTTATCCCTTGTTTTGTATTAAAAATTAAAATGCATTGTTATCCTCTGATAATTATTATACGCAAGACTTATAAAGCTAGCCTAAATGGAAAATCCATTCTTAAATATTTCCAAATGCAGCCTGGAATCGATAGGGAAATTGTAAGCTTGCATATTCTAATTATAACTAGACTTTTTTCATCGTTTAACCAAGAGGTTGTAACAAAATTTCATAATAATCTATTTTTCTTCTTCGGATATTGTTACTTTAATTTTGATTTTAAATTGAATTGAATTTGTACAGCTCAACAATAAACAATTTTTTCTATATTTTTTCCGATTATTAACTTATTTTCCGTTGCAATGTATTACCTCTCGTCTGAAAACCTTTGTAAACTTTTTCTTTTAAAAATGAAACAGACGTCATCTATTCGTAGAGATGTGGAAAATGGGATAAAGGCCAAATATATAAATAAACTCTAAGCATTACAAGAGCGTTATGAGGTATATTTATCTGTTGCCTGAATTAAGAAATACGATTTGACGAGAAATGGGAAGAAAGTGTGATTTCTTTTTTTTTTTGGAAGACGTTTCCCGACAAAAGGGCATTGCCCGCCAAACTAAAACAGAATTTTAAGGAATTCTCTCTATCAAAGTCATCCATTATGTAAAGGGTGGGTACTCGACAATTTTAGAAATATTTCCTCAAAAGGAAAATATAAAAAACGCTGTTGTTTATTTTTTAATTTAACTAAATAAACGTTTTTGAGGAGGAAATACATTTAACTTTTTTATCTGTGGGTGGTTGTAAAATTTCACAATTTTTGGCAAATGTTAAAAAAAATGTTCAAAACAAGATAGAACTGCAATAACACTAATACTACTTAATCTTATGTTACATAATCTTTGGACGAATAACATAAATTCATTTCAATGAGCAATACTCAAGTTGGAGGTGTATGTTGTAAGAGGTCATGTATTTATCAAATAGTTAGTGTATATCTCCAGGGGACACAATCTACAGTGTATATTAAAATGGCAATGGATACGCGCGGTTGGGTCCGATAAAGAATCTTAATATGAGTGCCTCAAGGGAGATATTTGGCTCGCTACTTTTCCTGCTCTATGCGAACGATCTGCCTACATAGTGCCTGATAACTAATTACTCTGAAATCTCTAACTTCGTGATTCGAGCTCATTTTTCTATACTGCTTTATGTGGAACTGCTGTAATATTTGTTAGAGTCAGTTACTATAACAAACTTAAATCATTCTAAGTTGTAATATTCATTTGATCAACAGACACGAATCCATAGCTTTGAATTCCTCTTTTCCCTTAATACTTCGGATGGGAAATGGCTGTGAACAGAACGAAGTTTTTGGGTATTAAACTTCACCAAAGCCTTCGTTTCGATTGCCACATACTGGTGCGGAAATTGTCTGCTGCTTGTTTTGGTCTCAAGAGATTGAAACCAATTGTACACAAGTCTCAACTGCTAACAGCCTATGCTCTTTTTATGGCACGTGCTAGTGATATTGGATTATGGGGCAGTGATGTGGGCCTACTTCGTAAAGATTTCCTACTTCAACAGAGAGCTTTGAGAGTGATTCTTAGGCTGGTATCGGTACAGTCAGCTGTTCCTTTAACTTTGTACAACTCAATGTACTTACAGTTCCTGGACTGTAAACTACAAACGATAAATTGTCGGTGGCCACCGAGAGAAGATTAAAATTCTTATCCCATTTTAAGACTATAAAACCACGCACAAAGACAAATTCGTTTTAACCAAGAACTATACACTTTACGAGTACTTAGTCTTTACTCAGTGGCCAAAATTTATGACAAAATATGCGAACTAATTAATTTAAAAACAAGCAGGATTTTAAAAGAAAATGCCAAAACTTGCTTGTTGAATTAGCGCTGTATGGTGTTATGCCATTTATGATTCATTCAAATCAATATATATCGTTTTTATAACTATTTAATATATATAAGATGACGTTCTTATGCAAAATGTATTTAAAATGTTAACTTCAAGAAAATATGGAAAAATCGCCTGATGGATAGAAAAAAAAAACAGGAATCTGGTTTGATGTTGTTTATCTTATCTCTCATTTGAGTGATATCTACTTTTTTTTCGCAAACCCTTGTCTAGCAGGTAAATTGCTAGAGTATTAATTAATTATCAACTTTAACGTGTTAATAATCTTCTTTGTCTGGAATAAAATAAGAAGTCAATCTTATTTGTCCGATATAATGAAAACATAAACACATTAATGTTTTAACATATACAGTCGTTAATTTCAGACGACGAAGTCATTCCTCGCATAAATTAACAACATTCTCCTCTTCATTTTTATTACAAAAAGCTACAGTTTCCAAGCATAATTTCAAGTACCAACGGTGCTTTTTTTAAAGTATTTATAACCAAGGAAAAATTAAATGCCTTTTTTTATCAATACACTATGAAAATTAAATAAATATCTAATTTTGCAGTTTGTCTTTATATAAATAAATATCGATAAAACAGTATAATAAAAAGTATATTCGAAAAGCGTGTGTCACTTTTAGAAAAAAATAGTGAATTACAGAAGAGATATTAAAATTGGCAGTATCGAAAAACCAAACTTTTTTCTTTCGAAATTTTACAAAATTGAATTAATTTACTTGTCTATAAAATTATTTAACCCGTTTACAAATAGTTTACAATCTCTCCATGCCTAAGTCCGAAAATACACAATTGACTCATTAAAATTTTATGTCGGTTTTACTGTTTTACCCTGCAAACAACAGACAATAGCCATACAAAATTAAATATAGAATTTTTAAGACTATGAATGTTAATTGATGTTAAGAATATCTCAGGGGGCGTCGGTGGCCGCAACGGTTAGGCGTTGACCGGCGCTCATCACTGTTAGATAAAGGTGCAGGGTTCGAATCCAGCGGCCCTGCATTCGAACCCGACGTACTTAGAAATGGGCTTTTTTCAAAAACACCGGCACTCTGAGGGTTGATATGACCTTTGCTGTTGCAAACCCTCGTAAAAAAAAAAAAAAGAATATCTCAACTGTTCATATTTTGCTATATCCCGAACGTGGAAATTATTAAGCAGCCCTATAACAAAGTTCAATTTTATAATACAATCGTAAATATATGACATCCGCCCTGTAACAGCATTATATTTCTATGAAATGATTGGCTATATTAAAGATTTTCTAACTGTGTTGTTTTTATTGATTTTAGGTGAAGGCGACATTACAATGGAACGCGTCACGATCAGCATGGACGTGTAACAGGGATCTGACCACATTTTTACGACGTAAAATAAATTTATGTAAGAATTTCACTGTATTCTGTTGAATATATAACAACTGACCACTCTTAAAACAATAAGTAAAATTATGTATGTATATGCGAATATGAATTCTATTGCATATAAGTTTTCATCCATCCCCGTGTAAAATTATCGAATGAAAGGATATTATCAAGTAGTGTACAATTTTGTTCTTTGGCGGGGTGCGTCCCCCTTTTATCTCCTCTAATCACCGGTTGTGTGCTATAGATTATTTTGTAAAAATCAGTTTACCCTGCCTAACGCTGTTGTTTTAATTTGTCCCCGAGCCAATTTAAATTGACGATTATCGCAGTAAATTAACTATTTGTGAATTATTAAGCAAAAACTGAACTATAGTTAAACGGTTTGATATAAGCCGGCCACCATCCCATTTAATAGTCATTAAATCATTAGGTTATAAATCAAACTTCCTCCAATCGGCTTAAGAATCTGTGAAATCTCTTGAGCGAATTACAAATGCCTCTGGCACAAAAAAGAAATCAGGATAATATACAGGAAAAGAAAGAGATATATAAATAGATAATTAGGACCGATGAATAGATAGATAAATAGAATGACAGATAAATTGAGAATGCGGGATGTGAAGAAGATGTAGTTTGGTCGTTTCCGACCTTTTTGGTCTGTATATCCTAACTATTTTGGCCAGTGTAAGAAAAGTGATTAGTTTAAGAAACAGTTTCGTATGTGGGTTGGTGTTTCATCTCACCCTGCTTATATCCCGACCGACCCCGAAAAGACAGATGAAGGCAAACTTTTTACGAAGTTTAATATGTATTTATCTTATAATAGTTATTAACAAAATTATGATTTTTTAATTATTTATATTTTTTATCTAAGGTCTTGGTTGAGATGAAAAACCAGTGTCAGGTGGGGATTCGAACCCACGAGCTTTGGCTCAATAGCCGCTGCTCTCTTGAACCACCGCGACTTCGATCCACTAGGGCAAGAATCGAATTCTGAACCCTCGATATTTGAAAATATGAAAAGAAGAGGGAAAATTACAAATATTTTAGGTTGAGATGAGGAATTGGTGCGCGAGTGGATCAAAGTCACAATGGCTCAATTGGTTAGAGCTCCTGTACACAGCCATTGCATGGATCTAAGCTTGGAAAATTGTGTGGTAATTAGTGACCGTTAATCGATGATTATTGAGAGATCGTGAGATACGGTCTGGTGTGATGTAGGTTTCAGAAAAACATTTTCTTTATCGTGCCCTGAAGATGATCTCAATAAAGATCGAAACGTTGGTACGATAAAGAAAGTGTTTTTCTGAAACCTACATAACACAGACCGCAACTCACGATCCCTGAATAATCAGCTTGGAAAATTGTTGGGATTAGTCAAAAGAGATTTGCTAGGTTACAATTCTGCCTTTTTACCCCTACACCCAACCTCTGTTCGATCTTCAATCCTTAACTTATCAGCTATTTGATTTACTCATTGATGGTGAAGGACAAATTCAATGCTTCTTTGAAAAATTACATACATCACTAATTTGTTTACAGCTGTAGCATGTTAATAAACCGATCAACTGATTTTCTGGAGATGCTGAATCTTTGAACATTCTCGTTGTTTTATAAATTGGATATTTTAGAAAAAATATGTAATAGGTTTTCCTACTCTTACAAGTTGCACACACTACATAAAACAGTAGAATTTTGAAAAACTGTACTATCATAAATTTATAATATTGGTATTGGTAATTTAAAATCAATACGTATAATTTTTTGAATTGTTTTTTAACTTTTTTACATATATTTTTTTAACAACTACATACTTCGACGCAACAAGTAAAACAATTTTACATGTAAAAAATATTAACGATAGCGTGCAAGCTGTGACGGTAGCCGTAAGTAGTACATCAATATGATGAGCGAGATTGTCTCAATCTTAGAGTCTGATGTCAACAAGTTAGGTTGTCGCGAGGACGCTTCAATCTTTTTGGATTATTTGGTAAAGTGGTCGATGACAGGTTTTGACGAAAGGGTTCATATGATAAGATATTTTGTAATGGAACTTTTGTAGCTGTTTTGGGCTAGTTGAGTACAAGAGAAATATTTAAGTCGGTATGGCTGGTGTCATTATAAACATTGAAAGGCACATTGACTGTTGTTTTGAGAATTTTAAATTGAAGGATTGGATGCGAATGAGGTTGGAACGCTTTACAGTCCCGTAAAGTTCAATTCCGTATGTCCAAATGGTGGCCAGAAGTGCAAAGTAAAGTTTTCTTTTGTTTGTCAGTGAGAGTTTATATCGTCTGTTGAGTAGTCGTGAAAATCGTATTTTACAGTCTGTGCGCTTTAATCGTGTATGGGGTTCCATGCCAGTCGTTTGTCCAGGTAGACCCCTTGGTATCTTATATTCGCAACAGGGATGGGAACGTTGTTGAGGTATACTGGTGGGAGCTCCTCTGACAGCTTTCTAATACGTAAGTGATTTTAGAGATTAAGGGAAGCTGTGATGGGATCTTTAACAGGAGAAAGGTTTGCGGTATCATCGGCAAAAGTGAGGGTGATAATGTGTGGTTGAGTAGATTGGTCGGAGGTATAAATTGAGTAAAGGAAAGGAGCGAGCACGCCTAGAATACCTGCTGAAATAGGATGGATTGGCGACAATGAAGTTCTGTGGGATACTTGGAAGAAGCGATCGTTAAGATAAAATCTTATGATGAGGTAATAGGTTACTGGTAGGGTCTTCTTGAGCTTCCAGAATGCCATACTCTGTCAAAGGCCTGGTGTATATTTGAGAACACACCCGGACAATGTTGTTTCAGTTCAAGGGATGTGTGAACAACGTTGATTATGCCATGTCCTTGTTGGACAGTCGAGTGGCTATTCCGAAAGCCGAATTAGTGATGGGGAATTGTGTTTAAAGTAATATCCTTGGACAAACGGATCAATAGGAGCTTTTTAGTATTTTGTTAATAATGAGCCGATACGAACTAGGAAGGTGATTAGGTTTCTTAGGTTTTGGGAGCATCCAATGCTGGAATGGAATTAAATGGTGAAGAAATTTTTGAATTGAAAGTTGATTTTGTACATAAAAATGGCATTTAATAGTTTTTGGAAAACCTCAACTGCATGATCATTCTCTACTTTGTATGTTTATGTTGTTGTTTATACGAAAATTCTGATATTAAACAAATACTTTTAAATAATTTTAAAGCGGTGTGCAAAGCATTAAGGATTCTTTTTTCTTCCAAACTTTAGATGTTAACAGCTTTTTACTTGCGTAAACATTTGCCTCTGTCGAAATGGAACCTTTTAATGGGGCTTTTTCAGTTCGGGTTGACTAAAAATAGCCATCTTCCTTGCACGATATTTCAGCTATTCATATTTCCTCAGGGCGCGATTTTTTCGACTAGTTCATCCAGCGACGATGATCTAGGATAATATGTACAGTTCTTCCCTTTACTTAATGAAAATTCTTTTATTTTTTTATTTTTATTTGTAGCCTATACATTTTTGCACATATTACTAATGTGATCATAGTAAGTTTTCATCGTCCGTGTAGGTGGTATGATGGATCTGGGGTGTGCAGGTTGGTCAGCAGTATAGATGATAGAATGGGACCAAGAATGCTCCCTTGTGGGGCGCCGGCGTAACGATCTGATTTCCGAGTGCTCGCTGCCGCACGTCATTCTGAAGCAGTGGTCTGTTAGGTAGGATTTCAGGATAAGTAGTAAGTTCAGGATAACGAGGGGGTAGGAAGCGTTTAAGTTTATAAAGCGTACTCGGGTGCAAGACCCTATCAAAAGCGTGTGTACATCTTGGAACCCACCCGAGCATCTTTGCTCTCTAGATCTTGGTGACGACTCTGAAACCTCGTAGGATAGTAAAATGAACGGATATCAAATAATCGCTTTACATCTTTCGAAGATTTTAGACATCGCAAAAAAAAAGGCTTATGGCTCTGTAGGAGGATAGGCTGGGTGGTTTATTAGCTTGAAGAACATGATCGTATGCATTTTCAGTGTATAAACCCAAGCATTTCTATATACATATTTTACCCGCTGACCGAAAGTTTTTAAAGTCCTGGTAGAATAACCCTCATGTAAATTATGTAAATCAGTTGTCATTATACCCCGAGTTTTAATAATAATGACTCTATTGACTCATTTTATCTTTTATCTCTCCAAGTTTAAAATTTAAGTCATATATTATTGTAAATCTTATGGCTAGAGTGTTTATAGGCGGGACTGTTTAACCTCTCACAAAACGGTATCTATTTATAATTTGTAAATAAATTATGTTGTTGTTTCCTACTTAAATGACACATCAGTTCTCGTTTTATTTGTTTAAACAACACGCAGTCTCAACACGACACGCAAGAATGGCACACTTACGCAGAAAACAAACACTTTGAACCCTGAAGATGTTCTCAATAAAGTTCGAAACGTTGGCACAATAAAGAAAATGTTTTTCTGAAACCTACATCACACCAGACCGCATCTCACGATTTCTGAATAATTATCGACTAACGGTCACTAATCACCACAAATGTTTAAACAACTTAAAAAAATTATCAACTGTATAGACAATAAGAGTGAACTTTTCATGAAGAGCCATTCGCATTCTTGTCAACTAAAAGCATTTTCACAGTAATGACTAAAGGCACGCTCACTTTAAGAAACCACATGAAAATGAGCTACTTTCAATATTAAAAGGAAAAAAGTCTAGTAAGCTGTATCTCAATCTGTTCTTAGGGCAGGTAGTCAGACAATCTCCTCGGATGTTGTTTACATCTTGTTTTAACCGATGAACATGGGTTTAGGGTTCACCACGTCTTCATTTCGTTTGAAGCTTTCTAAAGATGTTGGGTGTCGTGCCGGATTCGGGGAAGCGGACTCCAAGACGATAAATTGAATGCAAGAGGGATGTACCAGTGATTATTCAATTGAGCCTACTCGAGTCCAGTCTTCCTCCTCAGCATTTATTTATCAAAACTATGGGCAATAATTAGAACTCGGAAAGTGACGATAATGAATCCCCCAATTAAAAAATCATTAACGTTCGACGAAATGTTGGTCAAAATTGAGAAGAAAACAATAGGGAAAATCTTAAAAAAAAAAAAAAAAAATCAGCTTCTCAACCTACATTTGCGTTCTATCGTGACTTTTCATTATTTCAAGTAGATTTTTAGATTATTTTCATCTAATGATCATTAAATATTCTGTTATATTTTCTTTTTTGGTCAAGAAAACTTATTTATCTGTGTAATTCGGGCTTTATAGTGGCTTACCTTCCTTTGTTTTGATTGTATTTTTGAATCTTATTGATCGACGTGGTTTATTCTTATGACTAAATATGGATATAATTTAAAAAAAGTTATTTATGCTCAAATTATTAAATGAAATCTCAGTTTATTTTAAGAGATGTAAATATTTATATTTTTTTCGCCTAGTTTTCATTTTTTAACTTAGATTTAAACACAGTAGGACGTCTATGGGTTATGTTGCGGTCTGGTTAGTTTTAATTTTAAGCGATCATCGCGTTGAGCTAAGTATCGCAGATTGGATAAAGGTTACATGGAATGGTTGGAAATGGAGAATAATTTAATAAATCAACATTTAATTAAACAAGGACTTTTGTAAATGCTCTTTTATTTACACACTTAGATACCGAATTTCATGGAATCAGAAGAAATTAATTTTTTGACTGCTAATTTTGACCACCTTGCGTGATTGACATTCCTAGTGCAAGCTCTAACATCATTTTTCTCAAAACCTAGAAGACCGATTTTCATGGTTGAAAATTCGTGTTAAAGAAATTGTCAAGTGCATTTTATAACTGTATCAAACATTCAAATTGTTTTCCTATTTTGTGTATTTTTTATAGAAATCATTTATATATTTTTATAGTAAATATGTCGCTAAAAAGCTACGTTCCTCTACTTTCAGATGGTATGTTTGACGTTAAAATCCTCTTAGCCCTTTTTGACGTATAGCCGTTTAAACCAGATATTGCGATAACTACTTCTTAAAATCGGACAAATTTTAGGGTTCAAAAAAATAGATAAATTTAAACTCAAACAAAAATTATTTAGAGGTGCTAAAACGAAATTTCATATAGTTTCACGCAAAAAAAGTATGCCCTAATTTATTTGAAAAATATTCGGTTTTTAGAAATTTTTTGATTTTGATAAATTTTGATAACTTTTACTATACTTTTTTATTGAAACTACATAAAAAATGCTGTAAAGTTATATCTTCACTATTCACGTCACGTAATAGATTTGAGCATGTAGAACGGCGGAATAAAAATATTAAAAGATGGAAAATGTCAACTTTCATAAATTTGTTTTGTCGAAACCAGGGCCTATTCACAAGTCGGATATATGTTCAATATTTTGGAGGGTAGGATAACCAAAAAATGTTTGGTCCAAATCTGTGTCACACCAACCCGGTCGTCACCTTGTAAGTTTCTTTCAAAATCTATAATCGTACTGACATATTGAAATATTACATACATTAATATTGCAAATAAACCATATATTTATTAGTCATAATTGACGTTATTAATTATTGTGGCCCTGGTTTCGCGAAAAATAATTTTTTGAAAGTTGAAATTTTCCGCTTTTTAATATTTTTATTTCGCCATTCTACTTGCCCAAATCTACTACGTGAATATAACATTTTACAGCATTTTTTAGGTACATTACAATAAAAACAGTAAAAGCTATCAAAGTTTATCAATAAACCAAAAATTTCAAAAAACCAAATTTCAAGTAACGTAGGTCATAAATTTTTTTTGAATAATACTAATATGAAATTTCGTTTTAGCACCTCTAGAAACCCCTAAAAGCAAAGTGGGTCAGAATATGGTCCAAAATTGGATTTGACCTCATAGTCCTGATTCTAGCATTATAATCCCTTAGATAACAACTTTCGTAGACATCTGTGGAAATTAATTTTTTGACTGAAATTTCAACGTCCTTCTGCAAGCTCGAACATCATTTTTCTCCACACCTAGAAGACCGATTTTCATGGTTGAAAATTCGTTTTAAAGAAATTGTCAGATGCATTTTATAACTGTAATAATCATCAAAATCAGACTATTATTTCTACTTAAAAAACAAAGTTAATTTCTTACAAATAATTTTCCTATTTTGCGTACATTCTTATAGAAATCTTTTATATATTTTTATGATACATACATTGTTAAAAAGCTAGTTCCTCTTCTTTCAAATGGTATGTTTGACGTTTTTAGTCTTTTTTGTATTATGGCCGTTTCAGTCAAGCATTCCGATAATGCCTTCTTAAAAATTGGACAAATTTAAGAGTAAAAAAAATCGATAAATTTAAATTCAAACATTATTTAAGGGTCTCTAGAGGTCTCTCCAAAAGGAAATTTCATGTTAGTTTCGCGAGAAAAAAATGCACTAGTTTACTTGAAAAATATTTGGTTTTTAGAAATTTTTTGGTTATTGATAAACTTTGGTAGCTTTTACTATGTTTTTACTTTAATCTACGTGTATGTAAAATGATCATTCACATAGTTGGCGAAATAAAAATATTTAAAAAAAAGGAAAATTACAATTTTAAATTTTTTCGGGGCAAAACCAGGGCCTGTTCACAAGAAGTGGCGAATGTTTGTCCGATATTTTGTGTGTAGAATCGCAATAGAAAAATTGGTCTAAATCTTTGTCCCACCAGCCTGGTCGTCCCCTTGCCAGTGGGGCTTCGATATTCCTCCATCAGCCTATTCAATGTATTATACAGGGTGTATCAACTTCAACAGTCCACCCATTTAATTCGGAAACTATTAACTTTAGCAAAAAATGGTCTTATACAACCCAACGTTAATTTTGGTTAGGAATCACGTGGTCGCAACGGATTTAACATGCCGACGGATTTTTTGCTAATGCTAATCGTTTAATAAATAAATGGGGAGGGCCATCTTGTTACAAAAAAGGATACCCCTCTTCGCGTCTTCCGTCGGGCATACCTCAGAAATGGTCGATCCTATCAAAATTTTCTTTTCAGTAAAAGTGGCATAAAATAAGCTCTAGAATCATATTATACAATATAAATATGGTATTCTAGTTTAAAATAACAAAGTGAGTGTAATTCCCCAGCTAGATGAGAAAGTTATGTTAAATCTGTCACCATCACGCGATTTCTTGTCAAAATTAACTTGGGGTTTGTATAAGACCATTTTGTTTTGCTAAAGTTAATCATTTCCGAATTAAATGGGTGGACTATAGAAGTTGATATACCCTGCATTACTAACTTAATTGAGGGCTCATAGGGTACTCAATATTCAGTCATCGGCCCTCTCACTACACAATCAACTAAAATCTAGGGGCACAAAACTGTTAGTATTATATGCAATGAGATAATCTTGTTTTTTCCAAAAATTGAAACAGGGGAACTAGATACTAGCTTCGGTGCTCAAGCACGATTCTCGTATCGGGTGGCATTCCTACACGCTCTCTATATAGATCCAAGGTATTGCACCCTTTAATCATGTTGAGCACATCCGGGCAGCCTTTACATGCCGGCATTATTGCTTTGAAAATTGATGAAAGTAGTTTTCATGCTAGCAGCAAACAAATCTAAATTTGACGTTTTATAAATCAGACCCTATTTGTATTTAGAAGCAGGCCTTCGTTTTAAATGCAACGGATCAAATACTAGAGAGTTAGTGATTTTTGTATTCATGTAGTGAGGCAAATGTTTCCTACGCATATGTAATGCAATGTCACGTGCGGTGCGTACAGAATACCGGCTAATACGGCATCAATCAATTCCTAGCACTGGCACAGCATTTATCTCTACTCAGCTTTTCGCCGATAGTCGACAGTTCACTACTGACAAAGGTGATTTGTGAAAAAAACATGTTAATTCAAACTTTAAAGTAAAAATTGCCAATTTTTTCGTCGATTAGTCTGATCTCCATAGCTGCTTTAACCTTTTAGACCCATTTTCGGTGATTGGCGTGTCTTCCCAATTCTTGTCGTCGTTTTCTCTCATTTTCTCATTAAGTTTACGTTACAAATTAAACATTTTATCTTTCTTTAAATATCAAAATGATTATCGTATTTATAAAACAGCGAAACTGCCCATACCATCAAGGGGAAGGGTAGCGTATTGACAAGAAAATGGTGACCACTATGATGAATGGCAAACCGAACTGATTAATTTTCGAATTGTTCATACATTGAAGTCTGTTTTTAACGCAAAAATACACCAATTCTGACTCCGTTTTAAGTAAAAGATATAATAAATAAATTCTAATAAAGTTTTTATTTCTATAGGTGCAATGTTTTTCCTCTTTCTGTTTCTGTTTTGGGCTTCCTCGTTCTCTCTCGAATTGCAGAGAGAAACTCAACAAATTCTGGTTGATGGTATGTCTAACTGTTAAATTTTAGCTGATGGTTGTTTAATTTGATACTATTTGTAGGTATATTGACTGAAGTGACAGTCAAAACTAATGAAAACGTCAACATGACTTGTAATGTAATACCAGGCCTTGAAAACTCCGTGACATGGTACAAAGATGACAACAAGATTAACAAAAAAACCCCAAGAATGACACTGTCAAAACATTGGTAATTATACATCCCGTACATATTTTATTAAATATTTACTGGTTTAAAGAGCTGCTTAATTTAAATGACTAATAATTTATGTAAATGATTATTGCCAGTAATGAGAAGAAAAGAATCCTTAAGTCAAGATTATGGGATAATTGGAGATTAAATCTAGTTTAAGTAGTTAACAAGTCATTACTCTACATTATCCTCTGAAAATAAACTTGTTACAGGTTGAAAATATCCAAAATAAAATTGAGTGACCAGGGCCATTATATGTGTTCAGTTGAAAACAACAAACTGTATAATGTATCCCTGAATGTTCTGTCAGACTTGAGGCCTAGCTTCCAAGCCTTAGACCACAAAAAAGATGTCGACGATGAGCTCTGGGTTGAAACGATCGATGACATAGATGACAATTGGGACGATGAAGAAGTCAAGCCTTATTTTACAAGTTATGAAAAAATGCATAGCATCATTGCTAAAACAGCAGGTGACAACTGTACATTGATATGCAAAGCTTTCGGTAAGCAACTCCTTCAACATTCTTATAGACTTATTAAAAACAATTAAATTTATTTATTGCATAGGCATTCCAAAACCGGTGACCAAATGGTATAAAGATGACCACGAGTTGAAAAACAAAGTCAGATCATCTTTAAATTTTACGCAGCTTTCTGTAAAAGACAGTGGTACATATACTTGCATCGTGAGCAACAGCCAAGGGACTATTCAACACAAGTCTAAGTTAAAAGTTTATGGTAATAACCAAACTCACTTTAGTGATGTTCAATTCATTTTTACATGTCTTTTGGTAGGATTGTTAAAATTGGCAAAATACAAAATGTGTCATAAAATTGGTGTTCTACAATTTAAAAAGTATTTTGTCTATTATGTTGTCGCTCTATTTGCTCTCAACCAATTCACTCTGGTGTTTAATTTATTAATTACAAAAGCTGAACCTAAAATTTTTCAAAGATTTAGCCAGGTTTTTGAGAAAATCCAAGAATTAATTTTTTATTACTCCTATTAAACCTCGTTTATAATATATTAATAATGTGTTCCAAATATATTTAGTAGAAAGTATTGCTGTACATAATATCATCTCCCATTACAAATATTATCTTAGCATAATATGGTACGTATACCATAAGTATGTGTATTATTGAAAGACACTGTATATTTTTGTTTTGTGGTTAGAGTACATCAATAAATTGATACATTTTCAAGTGTATGTATAATGTATATTTCAAGTGAGATGCCTTTGAAATATTATATGTACATAAAATCATTCATTTTTACTTTCAGAATCAGAAGTTGAATTGCCTATTTTTGTCGAAACGCCAGCAAATATGACAGTACTAGTCGGCAGTGCAGTAAGTTTTGAATGCAAACCGCATTCGAGCGAATCTGAAAACATCGTTTGGCTAAAGCATAACAACTATATTGATCCATCCCAATTTAATGATACTGGGATAATAAATAAATATTCAGTAAGTAATGTAGGCATTTTATGAAATGTTCAACTTTTTTTTTTAAATTTTATAATGTTTATAATGTTCAACCTTTAATATATATGAAAAGAATGAATCATTTTATTGCCCTCAGATGGTCTTAAACCTTGAGGTTTTTTCTTGTTACTATACATTTTTCCAAATTGTAAACTTTCTGTATATATTAAAGAATAAAGACATACAGTGGTAGTAATCATGTAATTAAAAATATTTTATTTTTGATTATCGATCTGATTTTAGTTAAAAAATCAACCAAAAAATAAACAGATATTGTCAATTATGTCAGTTAATCTTGAAGACACTGGTTGGTACTCATGTCTCATCGATGGAAAAGCTTCTAGTAGTGCCTGGCTACAAGTAAATGAAGGTAAATAATTAAAATGGTAATGTTTTTAATAAATTTAATCATTACAGCAGATATTTTTTTAAATCATTACCTCTTAAATTGTAATAATTACATTTTTAAACCTACATGATAGAACATAATTTTTTATCTTACTTTATTGTCATAATGTCATGTCTAATTAATTCATTTATGATTTTTGCTTAGAACTTCATCCAACTGGATTGATGAACGACACCCATTTTATGTATTCTCCTGTATTTACCAAGGTAGAAAAAATGCCTAAAGTTGTTGCAAAACCAGCAGGCAACATGTTCAGGCTAAAGTGTGCTGCAGATGGTAAACATTTTGCTCTTAACCTGTTAATTATGAGATTTTCAAAGAGAAAATATTTCAATTCGGAATTCTTTTTTTCTTCTCTTTCAGGTAATCCTTCACCCAATATAACTTGGTACAAAAATGGTAAAACGCCACAGCGAAATTTGGGCTCTGTGAAATACAGCGGGTGGACGATGAAGATGGAAGACTTAATTAAAAGCGACTCAGGGAATTATACCTGCATTGTATGCAACATACTTGGCTGTATAGAACATGACTTCAAGGTATTTGTAGAAGGTAAGTCATTACATTTGAAATATTTACAATTGGATTTGACAGTTACTTTGGTAATTTTTTTAAGCCATTTTTTTTTATTGTATAATAATGACGAAGTAATTTGTTTTGTGGCAATAATAAATTTTTAACTAGTGGTGTAAATAATGTCTTTTTATGTTAAACAAAAGAAGTGATATACATTTTTAATATAGAAAGACTTCCACATAAACCTTTCATCAAAGAGGGATACCCACGAAATTCAACCGTTCTTGTAAATACAACTGCCAAACTTGAATGTCCGACATTAACGGACTTGGTACCGTATATGCAATGGGTTAAAGTTTTTTTCTCTTATGCTGGATCTAGTGAGATAAACAATGTCCCGGATCCCCTCCTTAACGGAACTGTAATTCAGGTACAATATTTACACCAGTTTTTGCAACCGAATCGTTCAGACTGGTTCAAAGGCAGGTGTAAATAACATTTCTTTACATTTGCTTTAAACGTCTTATTATTTTTGTAGAAACTGTATCACACAGGCCGATTCTGACGCAAGCTCCTCAGAATCTAACGGTGGAGGCTGGTGGTAGAGCAGAATTTGTTTGTCAAATTTTGTCATCTCTTCACACACACATAAGCTTTCATAAGGGTCATCATGTCACTCTTTCAAATTCGACAAATATAACAAGCGAGGTGAAGGTTGGTTGCATGATGTAAAATTGCTTTAATTTAATAGTTAATTATCTGAACACCATTTTTTTCATAAGTACACGATCTTTTACTCTTTAAAATTGCACATTTAAAACACTAGTTGAGGGATTCCTTTTGTTTAATTTTCAATTTATTGATTTATTATTAATACAATAAAAATATATTGTGCAAAATTATTTTGTTAATATATAGTTCACACAATATTAAATAAAAATTTCATAAATGGATTCCAGTTAAGATGAACATTTGCTAAAATCACACTGATCTGTTTAATGTTATTCATTAACACCAAATTGTATAATTTCATATTATTCTTTGATAATTCCCATATAAGAGTATATATTTTTTAATTTTGAACACAAAGAAAATTCATTTTAATTGTTCATTTTACCTTAAAAAATTAACATTATATATGCAATTCAATGCAATCTAACTTTGTGTGATTAAAGGGTTTTTATTTATACTGCATGTATTGGATGTTGCTAGTCAAAAAAGGTGCTGAGAACAAGGGATCATCTTTATTTATTATACATCACTATCCAATGTCAAATTATCTTGTTTTTGGTGATCGGTTTTAAAATATATGGGGAAATGTGTTCTAAATGAATAACGGTGGAAGATTTCATGGTGCATGTTTTTAGAATAATTTTGAAAATAAGTTAGCTCATTATTTGAAAGTTCAATATATTCTTAATTTACATTTTTATTCAATTTTCTGCATATGATAAAATATAATCTATAATACATTTATAAAAATTAAGGAACTACTGGTTTATGTTATTGAAATAGTATTAAACTATGTGGAAAAATATATTTCAAGATCAATAATCTGTTGATGTAGATTGATATAGATCAATAATAATTTATTTAACTATCTAAACAAAATTGATTTGGATGTTGTGATGTGTAGTGCCATTTTGGAATGATATGTTTTTCTAGGCAGGAGATCAAAATAATAGTGATCCTGAGAAATTAATAATATCAAATGTCACTCACGAACATGAAGGCTGGTATACGTGCATTGCAGGAAACAGTTTGGGATATACGTATGCAAGTGCCTACTTGGAAGTTGTAGACGGTAATAATTAAAATATGAATGTTTGGATGTTTGTGTTGTATCAATTGTTCACAGTTTAATAGTGTGTGTCTGAATTATTTCTTACATTTTCAATGAACGATTATTTATTTTAAATACATTTTTAGAATTTCCAAGTACATCTGATGGCAGTGCCCTCCGTCTGTTCGGCGCCCTTATCGTCTTTTGTTTATTTCTGATTGCGTTAGTCACCTTTCTTTTGAATGCCGTCAGAAAATTTAAAAGGTAAACTATCTTATCTATTACTTTTTCAACTGTGAAATTTTTTTATAGATCTAGCCATTCTGTGACAATTTAGAAATAATGTTATAATTTATAAAAAATATTTCAGAGAAAAACTGGAAAAGATTTTGGCTTTGGAGGCTGAGAGAGCTGCAGCAATCACTCAGTGGACAAAAAAAGTTATAATAGAAAAACAATGCCTCGTTAACGAGCAAGATCCTCTTGTAAGCAATCAAAAAATTCCTATTCACAAAATAATAACTGTTAAGAATTATTTACTTATTTATTTATTTAATTTTTTTTTACATTCTCATTTACATTTAAATTTAAATTACAACTGTTTTATCAATATGCGTAATACACCAATTGAGTATATTAATTTTTGATTATGGATATTTGAAATCTTAAATTTTCATGAATTAAACATTTATATACAGTATATCTCGTTATTAACAAAGAATATGTACCAAGCATCACTGTGGATAACGAGAACCTTGTATAATAGGAAACACCTCGAATTTCAGGCTTTGAAGCATTTTCTTCTTTTGTATACCAATCAGAAACTTTCTATATTGTGTAGTGGACGACGGCGCGGCGGCCGAATTATCTCTCGATATTCACTTGCTTTTCTATAAGTGACAAGAGATTAGTCGGCGTAAGCGCGTCGCTACTTATTTTTGTGTAGGGGAAGGTAAGGTTCCAGAATTCAATAAACCAGAGACAGTATTCAGTAACATTTATTGTATACAAGTCCTTCTCTTAACAGTACCCTAATTGCTAATTAATTAATCTACAAGTCAGCCAGAACTCTAAATCTGGGATGAGTCTATCAACAAAGGGACTTACCCCAAACGATGCTCGCCACGATCAGTGTCCACAACATCTCTTCTCTTGACCTCTGACTTGGCTCGATTGGTTGCAACGGCTGCTCCTCGCTGGCTCTGGCTGGCTGAGTCCTCTTGTTGAATCCCAGACGGAGTGTGGCTGCTTCTCTCCCGGTCCTTGGTCTTGACTGCCTGGGATGAGTCTCTGATTTCGACTGGCTGGGGGGTGTCTCAGATCTTGACTCACTGGGGTGAGTCTTGTATCTTGACTGACTTTTGATTTTCCAGTCATCCCTTTTATACCGGGTCTCTCCCGGAGTAGGGGTGGAAAGGAAACTCAAAAGTTGTGGGAGTTGACGTATTCCCAATTTACGATGTCCCCCGTTCTTACCTAACTGTCTACCTGGGTAACCCTTTCCAAGCTACATTTGCCAGATGTGTCACGACGTTCCCATCTGGGCGGTGGCCCCTTCAAAGTACAACCTTTGTCCCTTTTTCTCGTTTACCTATTTTGTTCTTATTTTACCATTTAACTTATCGCTAAGACAGGGGCCGGCTTACATTTGCATGGACCTATTGTCAATGTTATGTATGAACTTATGTACACACACATCAGATTTTTATGCACTTATTCACAACATTGAAACAAATGAGAAAACATCATTGGGGCCCTCAAAAGATAAAACCAACTAGGTGGCCAACCAATGATGAGTGCAAGCACAGATAATGAAATTGTGAATAACAAGAGTCTACTGCATAAAAAAATAAATAAAATATTGCAAAACTTTGAACAGTCTAACAAAAATTTTATTCTTGCAGGTAGTGCCAATCGTAAAAATTGAAAAACAGAAGACGAGAAATACTAAACTTGAATCTCTAGTCTCAGAATATGAGTTACCATTGGACACGGATTGGGAATTCCCTCGAACCGATCTTTTGATGGGGAAAACTCTCGGTGAAGGAGCTTTTGGAAAAGTAGTGAAAGCCGAAGCCTTGGGTATAATCCAGCCAGAAATTTCCACCATTGTCGCTGTTAAAATGCTCAAAGGTAATACTATCGGTTTACGACAAAAGTACTCTTAATGTCAATTGTGTTAATTATTTCTCCAGAGGGTCACACTGATACTGAAATGATGGATCTCGTCTCAGAAATGGAGATGATGAAAATGATAGGCAAGCACAGAAATATCATTAATATATTAGGTTGCTGTACCCAGGACGGGCCTCTCTATGTTATTGTTGAATATGCTCCTTATGGCAATCTCCGAGATTTCCTGAGGCAGCACAGGCCTTCATCAGGCTACGAACCTGCTATCGGTGAAGCAATCAAAGATAGGAATACCCTTACACAAAAAGATCTGGTTTCCTTTGCATATCAAGCTGCCAGGGGAATGGACTATTTGGCTTCAAAACGGGTAATAATAAATATTAAAAAATTGAATTTTTATTTTTTCATGATTTTTATGCGTGTGCTATTTATCTTACAGTGCATTCACCGAGACTTGGCAGCTAGAAATGTTCTAGTCAGTGAAAATTATGTCTTGAAAATTGCCGACTTTGGTTTGGCTCGGGACATTCACAGTCACGACTATTACAGGAAAACCACAGAAGGAAGATTACCAGTGAAATGGATGGCTCCTGAAGCTCTTTTTCACAGGATATACACTACTCAATCTGATGTGTAATTATTAATTTTTTAATTTCCTTATCAAATATATATTATTTACACTCTCCATTCATTACTATAATTTTTAAAATTATAGTTGGAGTTATGGAGTTCTGCTGTGGGAAATAATGACATTAGGAGGAACACCCTATCCATCAGTGCCAAACATGGAAAAACTCTTCCAATTGCTCAGAAGTGGTCATAGAATGGAAAAACCTCCATGCTGTTCCCTTGAAATGTAATAATAAAAAAAAGACTAAAAATCAATATAAATTTTACATCCTAGAAACAATCAATGTACGTTTTACAGTTATATGGTCATGAGAGACTGCTGGAGTTACCAAGCTAATGAGCGTCCAACATTTAGCGACTTGGTAAAGATCCTGGATAGAATTTTAATGGTTACAGCGAATGAGGTAAAAAAGACAGGATTTGTTTAAGTGAAAATTTCACTTCTAACCATATTACAATTAATTAAGGTTTTTAGTTGAGATAAAAAGTCAATGGCACGAGCGGGATTCGAACCCACGATCTTCGGCTTGATACGCCGCTGCTTTACCACTTGAGCTATCGTGACTTCGATCCACTCGGACACTAACTTTCCATCTTAATCTCACCTTCTGAATTTTCTCTCCTTTTTGCCATTTTTCAAATGTCCGTGGCCATTTCATTTGTCGTCGAGAATCCAATCAGATTACACGACATTTGAAAAATGGCAAAAAGGAGGGAAAATTCAAAAGGTGGGGTTGTGGTGGGTGGGAAATTAGTGTCCAAATGGATCGAAGTCACGATAGCTCAAGTGGTAGAGCAGCGGCGTATCAAGCCGAAGATCGTGGGTTCGAATCCCGCTCGTGCCATTGACTTTTTTTATCTCAACTAAAAACCTTAATTAATTGTAATATTAATTGGTCAAGCGGACCACGAAATTAGTGCATTTTAACCATATTGTTAATTGTAGGAATATTTGGACCTTGGGTTACCTCACCTTGACACTCCACCGACAAGTCAAGAATCAAGCAATGATGAAGAATTTCCGTATTTGTTATAATCTATGAAGAAAATTATGGAAAGTACAAAGATTTTATGTATATAATATATTTAAAAGTAAGCGATTTCTTAAGTCAAAATTACTCGATTGTGTTAGAACCAATTATAATGTAAATTTGATGAAATGAAAGTATAACAATGTAATTCTTTACATTAATATTTTCATGTTTAAAACAAGAATGTATCCATGCAATGAATATGCGTTGGCTATGGGTGAATAAAGTACCTGTCCAAAATATTAAACCATGCGTATTAATAATTTATAATATTTTAATTTATGATGATCCATTTCCATTGTTTATTTTTTAATAACTTAAAATGATTGTTTAAAATGAAGTTTATAAAAACCTTAAACAATAATTAATTATAAATGTCGTGTGAAAGATTGTGTTGTCTGCAGTAAAATTAATGTGTGAATTGTTAGACTCACCTGTACAAATGTATATGCACTTTTTTAACATTGTATTTTACTTTTGTCTTTGTTTTTTTTTTCACAATGTACATACATTTTATTATTGTCAAATGTACAGGAATATTGGTGCTTGGCTTTAAAACAAACATAAATTTGTATTCTTATTAGTAAAATATATTCACTTAATATTTTAAATAATCTATTTATCCAATTTGTAAAACAATTTTAGAAAGTCTATTTTTCTAATTGTTTAGAAACCTTTGATTAAAGAGGAATGTATTAATTGTTCAGTTAGTAACAGTAAAATTTTTTATGATTATGCCATTCTGAGACATCACCGTCCATCAGGGTATATTATAATAATCTAAAATAATTTCATTAAAATAATTTTTTTAAATTTAAGTAAGTTACAATTTGTGTATATTGTTTGTATAGATTATTACATTAGATTATGACATGTAAGCCAGCCTGCCTTTTTACTCGATGGTCTATTTAAACTATATTTGAAACAAAATTCAGCGTTGCATTGGCCAAGAAAAAGTTCTTCAGTTAGAACATTTAGAATTTTGTGATACAAGGCTGTTTTAAATTGTTGTAAGCAGGAAATTTTAATCGTGTCATTTGAGTAGTGGCTTATAAGTTGTTTTCAATTACTTTTGTATTATTGCAAATCGAGGCATCACTTCTGGGAATAAATGAACTTTATACTAAAACACAATGCTTAATTAGAAATTTAATAATATCTAAATGTAAAAATCAGCAATGTTTCTATATTTTATTTCAACAAGACTGACTATGAAGTAACACAACATAACTAACATTTGTACAATTTTTATGTGAAATTAATTGGTTTTTAAATCATATTTAATTAATTTATAACTTTTCTACCAATATTATTGATTTTGTCCAACTAGATTGGTCTGTCTTAATCCTAGTTAAACATATCTAATTTTAAGCCAACTTACCAAGTAGTGTAAAACAACAGTGACTTTTTTGTTTTGATGTAATCATCATGCCCAGAATGTACTTATTCCGGAGCCACTGGTGAATAAACAAGTTTTGGATCAATAACATAGTGAAAGCTAAATCTTTTATAATATTACCTAGTTACCTGACAATTTTAGCCATGTTACAATTCGGAGCAGAATAGTGACCACCACATTATGATTATTCATTATTTATAAGTATAACTGAATTGAAGTAGGTTATAATCGTCCATGTGTATCATATGTATAATTTAAACTGTACAATGAAAATTTATCCGTTGTATTGGGTTGTCCGGAAAATAATGCAGGATTTTGGTATTAAACAAAAAAAAAGAAACTAGTTACTTTAAAGCAATGTTCTTTAATCAAAATAATTTCCCATACTCTCAATACATTTCTCCCAACGTGTTGGTAACTTATTAATTCCGTCTGAGTAGAATTCAGAATTTTTAGAATTGATAAAGTCAATAAATGCATTTTCCAGTTCCGTTTGATTTTTGAATATTATGTGTTGTAAGTAGTGGTCCAGGTGTCTAAAAAAATGGTAGTCAGTAGGCGAGAGGTCCGGAGAGTAGGGTGGGTGAGGCAAAGTTTCATAGCCAAGCTCCAATAATTTTTGTGACGTTACACGTGACACATGTGGTCGAGCGTTGTCATGCAACAAAATGGGCCCTTTCCGATTGACCAAAGAGGGCTTCATTACTGCCAATTTCTGATGCATGGTATTAATTTGGTTACAGTATGATTCAGCATTGATGGTTTCGCCAGGATTTAAGAAGCTGTAGTGTATCAAACCAAATGAAGCCCACCATACCGTAACCATTACCTTTTTTTGATGAGTTGGGGGCTTTGGAAAATGTATTGGAGCTTCTCCTTTGTCGAGCCACTGTCCAGAATCCACTTTTCGTCACATGTAACAATTCTGGCCAGAAATGGGTCATTTTTGTTTCGACAAAGAAGTGATGCACAAACATCAAAGCGCTGATTTTTTTGGCGATCGTTTAATGAGTGTGGAACCCAATTTTCGAGTTTTTTCACTTTTCCAATCGCCTTGAGGTGGTCAGCGACGGTCGTTTTACTGACTTTGAGTTGCTCTGCAAGTTCTCGAACAGTTGTTTTGGGGTTTTCTTCCACCACTGATCGCAGAACATCATCATTAAGAGAGGAAGGCCTTCCACGACCTTCTTCATCTTCAAGGCTGAAATCTCCCTCCCGAAATTTTTTAAACCACCTTTGCACAGTGCACTCATTAACACAACCCTCGCCCCAGACTTGGTTAATGTTTCTAGCCGTTTGGGCTCCGCTTCGGCCGAGTTTAAACTCGTAAAAGAAAATCGTACGAAATTCTCGCTTTGACATTATAAGGATGACTGAATTATTTCCAAGTAGCGGAATGCTACAGAGGTAAACAAACAATATCATTTGGAAGAGGATTAATAAGTGTTGACATTCATACAAATGAGTAATCCTGTAAACGTAAACAGAATATTTTATATAGATTTTTTTTAATGAAAACTTAAAATCCTGCATTATTTTCCGGACAACCCAATACAACCATAATTAAAAGTTGAAATGTAAAATTTGTGTTTAATAAAGTGTTATTTTTGTAGAACTTTCTATTTATGGCAAATGTTAATTTGAGATTTAATAAATTGTTATTTCAACATATAAAAATGCAATAAGACATCGTTATATGTCGTTTGGTTGTTTTGATCATGTTGATTTGTAAATCCTCCTGCTTTGGTTTGTCAGACTTATTTCTTGTAACATTCAGTCGTCAACTTGTGCCTTGCTTTACCAAGTGAACATTGAAGGTAGTCAGCCAAAAAGATTGGAAACGACCAAACTACAGGTTCATCACACTGCACACCCTAAGATAAAATCTTATAACATACACTTAGTTCACCAAATGAACAAATCATTACAACTTTAGCTAACCAATTGGACCGCAACAAGAAAACCATCTTACCAATGAACTGGATTGCTTATGGAAGGAAGACCAGTATTTCTTCTTGATTTCCATAACTGGGCATCAATAGAAGAATCAAATACCTAATCGTCGTTGATGGTTCTGATATTACACTGCATACACATGACTGTCTGAGAGTATGTAAATCTGTGCACGTTTCATATTTGTCTTTATTATATTCTTCTATTATTCTTGAAAAAGTTGTATTGCATGGACCAGTTTGGAAAGCTGTCAGAATTAATCCAAAGAGCTTTGCTAGGGTATACTTCAGTATTTCAAGGGTCTATCAAAGTTGGGCTTTTCTCTCATTTTACTGTTATCACAAGTATTTTAATTCTCTCCAAAATTCTGTGGTGGTTCCTCCTTAGATTTGACCTCGTTTCCTGGTTGACACTTTCAAAAACCACCATATATGCGTAACGTTCCCATTTGATGGAACCCTGAATATTACCAAATAAAAAATTAATTAATTAATAAAAAATATAAATTGAAATAAACAAGAAGAGATTAATTCTCTTCTTACAACAGGCCTATAAGGGGCCTAGAGGGAAGGACCAAAAGAAGAAGATGTAAACAGCAGGAGTCTTGAATTAACAGCCAGACTGGAAGTACAGGATTGAGAAGGGCCAAGCTGTGTTTTCTGATAATCAGTATGATCTATATACACTGACAGGCAAAAAATTCCACCCACTTGTAATATAACTCGATTTGTATATATTTTTTAATATTAATCAAAGCAAAAAAAAAAAAAAAATCTGCCAGTCTGGGAATTATTAACCTATAATAACCTATAATGTTGGAGGTTAGCCCATTCTTCATGAAGAGTCCTTTCAAGATTATGGAGTGTATCAGGAAGTGATGTATGTGCTCTTATTCATCTTTTAATGAATGATGGTTATCCCATAAATTTTGTTTTGGTTTCGTTTTGAATTATAATAAACTATTATTTTAAAAGAAAATATTTCTTGTTTGTTCTTCCGGTTGTTACATATGTTAGGATGGAAGGTAATATATATGTGGATTGCTGTTGTGGGGCAGATGCATCGCTCCTGTTTTCTTTTTACAGTTGAGGATCTGACTGTTGTGGTGTATAAACCCTATTGAGGTTTAGTCCCCAGTTTTTGTTGAACAATCTCTGACTGGATTAGTAGAACCTTGTCTTTATGGAGGATGTTGCCTATGTGTTTTTTACATTTGAACTTTTAAGTCTAGAGTTATTCCTAGATACTTTGTTCTTTATTTATTTACGAATCGAAATCCATTATAAAAAAAGACATTTTACAGTAACAAAAAATATAAATAATATATGTAAAAATACAAATAATATATATAAAAAGAATAAGAATACATGGTAATAATATAAATGGTAAATATAAATGATAAATATAAAAATACAATTAAAGAGTAAAAACTGAAACAAACTGAAACAAAAATGAAAGACATAATTACTAACCAAATAAGGCAGAGAAAACAAAATAAAGCTGAAAGACAATTGAAACTACAATAACTAGGTACATATTTAATGAAAATAATACTCTTTGTAAATATATAATAAGACTAGAGTGCGAGAATTAGTTGAACCAGTAAATGAAATGTAATAATTTTGTACAGTATGAAATATAAAAGCATTCAACTAAGGTTGTAGTATAAGGTTTTTCACAGATTGCTCAGAACTATTGAAGAAGTCAATGCTATTGCAGATGTTGTTACTCTTGATCATCATTCTGTGTAGAGGAGAAGAGAGCATGTAGTTAGAGCTTTGGAATTCAATATAAAATAATTTATAGGTTTTAAGAGAGTACGAAGGGACATGTAGCTGTAGTTGAGAGAGGAGATAAGGACTATCAATGAGATTTTTTAATAATTTAAATACAAAAACAATATCAAAGTAATCCCTTCTTAGTGCCAGTTCGAAAAGTTTAAATTCAGAGCGGATTCCAGGGTAGGCAGAATTCAGAGGAAGATTTAGTTTGGAGGAAAGTTTTTTAAAAAATTTGTTTTGTACAGATTGAAGAATTTTTTAATAATTTAGATATAATGGGTTCCAAACAGGTGTAGCATATTCTAGTATGGGTTGTACAAAAGCTTTATAAAGATGGAGAAAACATAGAGGGTTTTTAAATTCATAGGTGTTCCGGATGATGAAACCTTTGGAGAGAGTCAAAACTTCACTTTTATAGTGGATGATTTTAGATGTAGGCACATATTATTTACATGTATAATTTATTTTTGTTTCGCCTGTAAAATTAAAAAAAAAGAAAAGAAAAAAGAGTAGCTTTTTGAATGTGGAGGGAAAATTTCATCTGGCGTCATGGAATATTTTCACCCTTATCAGCGATAGAGAACGTTGATATTGAGACTTGGGAGGTTACAATACTGTCACAAAGTATGACTTTGGTGCTCATTCTCTTCGCCTGGATCTATGAATAAATCCCGAGATGGCCGTTAAATAACTGGTAAATGTTGACTCCCCGTCTGCAGCGATGTCTGAAAAAGTGATCAAAATCGTTCCGGTGAACCTGCAAGAGTTCGACCTCCTCATCAACAAGGAGACGACCGTCGAAGAGACGATAATCGTCTTCTGCAAGCGGTTCAACATAAAGCCGATATGCAGGAATCTGTTCGCAGTCCGGGACCGGGTCGATCACTGGCTGCCTCTCCACGTCCGCCTCTGGGACATGAACGAAGACGTCTTCAAGAAAGGTCTCGAGATCAGGATCAGGTAACGACAGCCAGCTGCACCTACTGCATTGTGTTTATACCCAAGGTTTATGTCATACTTCTTGATTCCCAAACCATTAAAACTACACATTTTATTTTGTGGTTTACTATTGTACAAGTATGAACACTACGAGGCAATTGGCTCAATGTAATACTGGTACGATGGCTATGTTCGAAGATGGTAGTAACTTCTTGCTTGGGTTACTGCATTGTCATTGTTTTCATGAAGGATGTTTGACATTTTTGTGTTTTTAAGACCTACTAGATGAAGAATATAAGAAATGAGTCTAGTGTATATTGCTGAAAGCTCAGGCACAAAGCCAACTGATGTGTTTGGATTTGGGCTTTGCTTATAACAATAGGTTGCAAGAGGTATTCAATGTATTCACCATTAATCAACTAAAGTTGATTGTCAATGTTGGTCTGTGAGTCGGTGAACATACATTGAACTGCAGTGCTTCTGTGCTTGGGCAGTTCTGAAGTTCTTCACTGAAGATGGCCCAAAGCTGTACTTGAAAAAGTACTTGAAAAATCTGTGCGTGTAGAGATCCAGTAAATGACCCATTGCAGGTTCAACAAGTAGAATATATTATTGGTGTTATTCAAAGATTATATTTGATCATAATACAAATTGTTCTTGTTTAAGTATCAAAGTATACGTAATTTATCTATTCTTTCACTTTTTATAAATAAATATATGCCTTTAGTTCCAGCAGGTTGAGGCAAACCTGCTGGAACTAAAGGCTTATATTTATTTATAAAAAACACCGTTATGGAGTTCCACAGCAAGAACAGTGCCACACTCAACAACATCTTTATTCTTTCATTTTCATACAGAGGCTGCAAGTAGATTATTGTCTGTATATCCTCAAATTGTGTTTTTTGATGGTAATTCTATGCCAAAACAAAATAACTGTGGTGAAATGAGTATATTAATGAACTGCTTTGAAAGGTTTCCACTCACAAACTGGTTTTAATTTTTTTTGGCTTAACTAGCTGCTTGTGTATAGACACAAAAAAAGTTTGTGAGTACTTTCCGACCAATGATTCCCTGCCAATGCTGGAAGGTTGTTTTTGCTGTGTAAGTGTATTGACCAGTTTTGGTTACCATTGATAATACATTTTACATTATTGGTTATTATTTGGATTGACCTCTGTGCAGTTTATACTGTTATAACTTATTAAAAGGTAGTCATTAAGAAATAGGAAAGGAACATAAACATGATGAAGGCAGCACATTGATCTGGTCGACTGGTTTAGCTTTGTTTCAACCCCTTTCTCTTTTTCTTCATTCTTTTTTGAAGGCGTTCCTCTTTTGTCTCCATGTCCGATTGTCACTTTACAGATATTTTCTGCGACCCTCGTTCCGATGGCAGAAATATTTGGCACTAACGGTACTATGTTGAGGTTGTGTAATATGTCTCAAGCTTAGAGTTACTGCAGTATGCACAAAGTCCACAGTATTATAGATATAATATTTATACATTTTCAATATATTCAATGTAGTTAGTTATTGATGTTATAAAATGTATTTTTTTTTTTTTTTTTTAGCATAAAGCTGGTATAAGAAGAAATCATAAGTTCTTATTTTTCCACCAATTTTAATGTTACAAGGTGACTTCCAAGACTGAAAGTGTCGAGTTAGCCAGTTTAGGTGGCAGACTTTTATGATTTTTTTATTTTTATTTCTGACTCTAATTAGACATCTTCCAATCCTGTTTAATATTTACTTAAAACTGGTTTGATGAATACATCATGGAGCCTACAAATCTTGTGACTTTCATTTAGCAAGTTTATTTGCTTCCTCACTACTCCTGGTCGTTAGTTATTTTTGTTTAGGATTGAAAGTTTCTAGAACAGTGCTATACTACTTTAGTATAAAGTTGTTGATAGTTCAAAGCTTGAGCCTAGATTCCTTCTTTGGTAGCTATGTTATGTTGAGGTTTTCTACTAAACAAGGTTAGAGAAATATGTCTAAAGTTTAGTGTTTAGTGTAAAGTTCAGCATAGATATAAAAACAAAGGGGTAAAAATCGTCTAAATGTTTATCATTTAAATAGCGTTAGCGGGAATAGAGTTTGTTATTTGGGTCTAAATAGTAAAACATTATTTATTTGTATTATTTAAAAAAAAATCATATAAGTTAACGAAAGGAGAGTAATTGACAGCTAGTGGGAAATACATAATATATGTATTTATCGAAAACGTTAACGGATTGCTCATGACCAGGCATTTTTAATATGTATTTAAAAAAAAAAGGCGTTCACAAATATAGGTAGGTGTGGTTAAACGATGTCCCTTTATCTACGAGGGTATTATCTTAGGGAAGATAAGATTTATATAATTCCAGTAATGAGATATGGTTTGGAAAATAGCTGTACATGATTTTCATTTCAAAATGGCAATAGATAAGCTATTTTTCAACGGTCCGAGACAGTTTTAAGATTTTACATTAATTTGATAAGGGTTTAATTAGGCGCATTACAGTTCACGTACGAGCTAGGACTCAATGTTATATATTGGACCCATTATAGTGCCGAATTAGAAAACATCTTTCATTAATAATTAAAAACTGTATAATTAATCGTAATGAAACTTGTGTTTAGACGGAAATTGCTTCTATATGCCACCAGTCCCTCTTTACCTGCCATACCGATCATCAACCGTTCCCGTTAATCTGTTGAAAACGGGATAGGAATCTCCTGGTAAAATTCAAATAATTAACGGCACTAAAAAATTCCCTCTAAGGATAATTAAAACAAAAATCTTCTGGATCGTACTCTTTAGCTGGCTTTATCAATTTTCTTTGTGGATCTACTGGTGTAGAAACTATTTTCTATTCGGGCCAAAACCCTTTAGGGTTGACGAGATTAACCTCGCTTATTCAGGGAGATTTTACTTCCGACCCTTGACGAGCCCTTTTCTAGGCAATGTTTTACTCTTGTATCGTGCACTTTATACTTGGTTTCCAAGTTTTCTTTCAATTCGTTTAACGATTCAGTGACACAGGTTTATGAAAGCCAAATCCTTTCCATTTTACATTTGATAAATGTTCTGCTTTAATTTAAGCCTAATTTTTTATTGCTCTGTTTATAAAAAGTATTCTCATTTATCTTCCCCAGCTCCCAACTCCATACATCAAACCTATCGATATTTATGCAAAGAGACGATAGATTCAGAGTTTGTATGAAGACTTTTTTTCTAGATTGTTTTGCGTATCTGTATTTTTGTTCAGATCTTAAATTAAAAATATAAGAAAAACAACATTTTACTTTTCAGGGTTATGGATTCTCGTATAACAAACTCTTGATATTTGAAACGATGCGATACTTCGTAAATATTTTTTTGGTTACTTGTGAACGTTTTTTTACAACATTTATCAACTACTAACCAAAAAGTTGCGAAACCCCTTGTGAATAATTTATTTTGTTTTTATGCATAGGTTTATTTAATTTTTAAATCAATACATTTGTGGTTACGTTTAGATACAAATATTGGGTTACTGTATGAAAAGACATAAGTAAATATTAAGTTTTCATCACCGAAGGGAGCAAAGTATCTATTGTTTGCGGAAGTTATCGGCGGATGCTTTTCTCTTGCAAGTCCAAGGCGAAGGGCTTTTCTCCAAGTTGTCTGAAATATTTAACATACCGATAATTTTCTACCGACATTAATTGTACCACCTTGTTAACTAAAAAAAAAGTAAAAATGTCTATCCGTGTTATCAAAAAAGAAAAAGGAGGTAAAACGCCTTCCATATTATCGGAGGATATTTATGATTGAGAGAAAAAAACAAACATTGAGGGTAAAAATATATCTTAAGTATCTAAAACAACAAGGGAGAAGAAGCCTCGGCTTATCAGAGCAGCGAATGCTTAAAACAGATGGGAGAAAGAGTTTTGGAAGAAAAACATCTACTTGCTAAGTTTCATTCATAGATTCAAAATTTCCTTAAGTTTTTTTATTTTTTATTATCATTAATCTTTCCACCTTACGAATCCTTCAATAACGGTTTTTTTCTTTTCCTTCATCAATTTTTTCATCTTTGAAAAAAGTAATTAACCAAGCAATTGCACCACTAAAAAGGATATTAAATGGAGTTTAACCGAAACTGTTGAGATTAGGAACATAGTTAATTAGGAAGTTTTGGTTCCTTTGTGAACGTAGAATCTGCTGGCAAAGTTTGTAACACGAGTAGCCGAACACCCTATATACTTTAAACTTTATACCAAATATAAAAATGCATTTAAACAAAATATCGATTTGGGATTTATTTTATCGTCAGCTCATCTGTACTTCTACAAATTGTACCTAGTACCCATCGAAGCTCTGAACATTGTGTCTACCTCTTCAGTTATTCCCACTGTCTTGTGCCGATTTCCCTGTGCTCCATTTTTTTTATTTTTTAACTATTATTTATTATACTGCTTTGCTTCAAGAATACAGCATTAGTACACTCGTATATACACATTATATAATAAATACATAAGTACACATCACATAATAAATAAACAAATTAAAACAAGGAATACAACAAGAAAATAAATAGTTTTACACATAAATAATTACAATAACATGCACACGTACGACTCTGAAGTCTATGTCACAGTATCACACAGTCTAATTTTATGCATGTATGCACCGCAAATGCAGTGGTTTGAGAGAATCTGGGATATAGAAGCAAAAAATTCTTTTGTGCCATGATTTCCAGAGAAGGTTTTGATTTCAGGGTATATGGATTTGTATAGGAAACCCGCAGTACCCTTTGTGTAACACTTGCTCCATTCTAGCATCACCTATTTGGTGAAGAGGCGTTTTGCATCACCATCTCTGTGCTGCCTTACTTTTACTTTACTTTACTTAGTAAAAGCAATTCATTTTTTTGTGTTTTATTCTTATTCATACCATTCTATTTTTTATTGTACCTTGTTTGTGTTGGTATGTCTTTACTAGGTTTCTCTATGTTTTAACATATTCTCGTTTTGTTAGGACGCTATGTAGTAAATGCAGTTGTAACAAATTAAATAGTACCATACTTATTACTATTGATGTTCCCTTTTAAATCATTTATATACTATTGGTATTTATATGTGGCAAGGATAAATCCTTGAAGGTCATAATAAAACCCTTATAACACAATATTTTATTTGTATTTTTTATAATATGAAAATTACATTGAAATAAGAATGCTAGTTAATGATGTTTGGAGCAATTTATATAATAAAATTAATTTTAATTATTTAGGTATAGGATGCCTAACATACAGTCTCTTAAGAACATGGATCTCAGAGCTCTGGACTATTATTTTCTGCAGGTGAGGGAAGACATCCTTAATAGTAACATCAAGGAAATAAGCTACGAGAAGCACAAGGACGAGCTCATGGGTTTGGGAGTAACGGATATGTACAGAGTGATGATTGAGAAAAACCTAGCCATACCCATGATCCTCAACGATTACAAAAGGCACATACCGAAAGAAATCTTGAAGCATCACAAATTCTTTGTTAAGAAGCCGATTTTTGATTCTCTCACAAAGCTCGAAAGCACTGGGAATCGTGATGTTTTAAGCGTCAAGTACAACTATTTATTCCAGTTTGAAGGGATGGCGCCGAACTATCTTTCAGAAGAGTTTGAAGGGCAGATTGAAGATAAAGGTGTTTTTAGATCTGCAGATTTGTTTGTAAATATCTACAGCAAAGAGAGACCGGGCGTTTCGTTCTGCTTTAAACAAGGCGTTGAAGGGGTGACGCATCTTTGTTCGATCGACGATATCTGCTGTGTGTCTATTTGTGAAACAACTGTTGAAATCGCAAGAAAAAACGGCATCCCGGTCTACATTAAAATGTCTAAGCAGACTATGGACTCTTTTGTCACACTATTAGATGGATATTATCGCCTCTCGGTAAAATCGATATTCAATATTTGCAAAGATTTTTATACTCCTTCTCTTAAAAAATTGTTAAGTCTGAAAATCCATGGACCTGTCGGAGGTGTTTTTGCCTATAATAAACTAGAGAAGAAGAGAGAAAACAAACCCGGCTGCTTTATCCTAAGGGAATGTGAAAATACTTACAACACCTATTTGGTCGATGTATGTACTAACACGAGTAAAGTTATAACATACAAGATTGAGCAAAAAGGTGAAGGCCATTTTTTGTTCGAAGGCGATAAGAATACTTACGATTCGATTCAGGCTATATTGGCTAAGTTCAGGTCTCCGGAAATTGATATACCTATGATCGAAATCATCCCACCTTCAGAATATGACGAGTCTCAAGTGTTGTTATGTCGTAAGTTGCAAGCGGTAAAAGAACGACCGAAAGACATCGCAGATGATACGAACGCCTCGCCGCAGTGCATCAGCTTTAAAAATCTCCAGATCTTTCCCGGCAACGTTTATCCGAGTAAGAGGGGTTTCACTCAGGTCGAGAAATTCCTCTGGAAAACGGATAGTCCGGAAAGGAAGGTTACAGTAGCAGTGAAAGTGCTCAAAAAGGCAAATTACGATAAACACCTTCAAGAATTCTTGCAGATGATGAACAAATGGACTTTTTTGAAATCAAATACCATAGTGCGACTACTCGGTATCACAATTTTTCCTGTGGCAATGGTTACCGAATACTATCCTTTAGGGTGTTTAGACGATTACCTGCAAAAGTATAAAGACGACATCCGTGAAGTGGATCTCGTAGAAGCGGCAGCTTTTATCGCCAAAGCTTTATGGCATCTGGAAGGGGAAGGTATAGTCCATGGTTATTTAAGGTGTCATAAGGTGTTAGTCGTATCGCACACTTCCCTCTCGTTCAATGTCCGTCTGAGCGATCCGGGAATCCAGGCTCTAGGAGATCAAGATTGGCATTGGATTCCGCCGGAGTTGTACGACGACCGAGATGAGATATATAAAAGGACGGCCGCTGATGTCTGGGCCTTGGGTACCACTTTGTGGCAGGTGTTTTCGTACGGCGAGCAACCTTTTGTCAATGGCAGTATCAAGGATTTTTATTTGAGTCGCAAACGGCTCGACATGCCGAAAGACTGCTCGGAGGAGATATTCAGAATAATCGAGGAATGCTGGCATCACGACCCAGACCAGAGAAAGCGCCCACAAGGGGCTCTACGAGACCTTCACCAGCTGCTGTATCAGGTACACAACTCAAGACGACCCCATACTTACACCCTCGCGCGGCCAGTTAGATCCAACGAAGACGATGAGAGTTGTACCTCCGTCACTTCTCAATTAACCACCTCGTCGTACATGGACGACCCCGACACCGCTGACAAAAGAATCTTATTCGGAAAAGACTCTTCTTTATGGTCACATTTCAATCTTCAGAATTCTTCTTTAGACAGTACGACCTCTATTCAGAGTATATACGAACTCTCTAGAAATTTAGATTCCGAAGGTATAAAAAATATTGTACTCGAGACACGTATCGGAAAAGGGTGTTATGGGGAAGTGTACAGAGCAATTGCCGAATATACGAATCATGCTAGCGAGCCTCAAATAGTGGCTGTTAAAAAATTGAATACAAACCATTCTTCTTCGGGGAGGGCTGATTTCCAAAGAGAAATCGCCATAATGAAAAGCTTGAAACACCCGAATATCGTCGAAGTCAAAGGAGTGATACAAGAACCCGAAATACTCTTGATAATGGAATATGTTCCACAGGGCTCGCTAAAGTGCCATCTCTGTTCTAACAGAGATCATTTCACAGAAAGACACCTATTCAAATATTCATTGGACATCGCTAGAGGCATGGACTACCTCGCTCAGAAGAACATCGTCCACCGCGACCTAGCAGCCAGGAACATCCTTGTAGCCAGCGAATTCACAGTCAAAATATCAGACTTCGGACTGGCTCAGGTTACAGACAACAACTACTACATTTTAAAAACGTGCAGGGAGCTGCCGCTTCTGTGGTACGCTCCTGAGTCTATTCAGGACGGTAAATTCTCGACGTACTCGGACGTCTGGAGTTACGGAGTCCTGCTATACGAAATGTTCTCCTTCGGCCAGGACCCGGTCATCAACAATCAGTCCTCAAATGCCGAAACGCTTTACACTTGCCTCAAGTCTGGCACCCGGCTGCCTCGACCCGAAAGCTGTCCCGGTGAAGTCTATGCCAGCGTGATGATGAGGTGTTGGAAATTCAATGATAAGGAAAGACCTTCTTTCATGACGATTATAGAAATCGTCAACAAACTGGCAGGGCTTCATGCCAATTGAGTTTATTGGCCCAAACAGTTGGTTTTATATTTTATTTAGAAACGACTTTCCAATTTAACGGAAATGCTCACTTGTAAATAGGTCGTGCATGAAAGAAACCAGTCCTTTTAGATATTAACTGAAACATTATTTTTGATCCGGAGATTAAATTTTAGATTGTATTTTAATATCATCAAAATTTATATGGGAATACTGTTGTAGTTGTAGAAGTAGAAATCGTTCTCAGTTGTATGTAGCACAAAATTTCATATTTTTACATACAACTTGGACTAGTAGTTTACATCAAACATTAACTGTCACATTTTTAAACACATCATCTGTATAAAACTAGAGATTAATTTTTTAATTGAATTCGACCTCAGTACTGTAAAATTTTTGGTAACCATAACATGAAAGATATATCGGATAAGATTTTAAATTAGTTGTTAAAATTAATTGGTCTGAGCATTGATTTATTTAAAAAAAGTTTGTATGTTTATTTGCACAGTTTCAACTCGTTAATCTAATGAGCGTTTAAAATATTATTTAACAGGCAGGTTATGCCGTTTTCACATTAACTATAGAATCTAAATCTTGGTTTTTCATGATACCTGTAACGCTGAATAATTTGATTCAGTTAGAGTATTTTTTTATTTTATTGCATTATGAAGGACCTCAGGTGAGGTTGAAACGGTTTTCTCCGGGGGAAGGAACAATGCGTTATCCTAATTTTCATTTCAGTGCCATGTATCGTCGTGCAAAGGTAAAATGTGATACTGTGATGGTTAAAAAGGTTAAAACTTACTTTGACTAGTCATACAAGGGAACAAATTTAGAGTAGTAATTGTTTGTTGTCGATAAATTTCCGCTTGGCAATGTGTTGTCATCGGGAGTTGACATTTCTCAAAATGGGTTAAATAGATGCGACTGCTATTTATGTAATGCCAAATTAGTTTTAACATATCCTTTAATTGATATTGTAGAGAATTTCTCAAAAGAAAACTTTTTCAAAGAATAACTGAAAGGCAATTCGCACTTTTCCTACGTTTATTATTATAGATGTAAGATGTTATTAATAAGATTTAAATAGTGTAAATTAGTCAATATTTTATGTTAAACACTAGTGGTTTGTAATGATATGCGATTATGCGGATAATCAGAGCACAAATCATGACTCTTTTTAGGGGTCAAAAATACACATTTTATTTTTTCACGAAACGATATGACCCGATGAGTAGATTTTATGCAAAAAGGGCCTATTAAATGTATAAATAATGTCAAACTAAAAAAGGGTCTTTAGTGTACTTGTTGTTATTTTGTGTTTTAATCAAAAAACCTGTTTTTATGTGGTAGTGTTGTAATGTAAAAAGTGTGTATTTTCTTGAAGTGTTATAACTTTTCTGATTCAATGTCTCATTTATTGTTATTTATGAATACATGTGAATTTTATTTTAATGTAAATTTTTGGCTGTGATGTAAAATGAACTTCAATTGCTCATGTTATGTTTCATATTTCTACTTAATAATATTGTTTTACACTTAGAATTTATTTTTCCAAACCTTTAACCTTTATTTTTTTTTTTACCATCTTGATTGATCAATTTTGATTGACTAAGTCATTCGTAGTATTAATTTATCATCATAGACATAATGTAACTGCATCAATTGTGCCAAACTAACAACTTTGTGTGGGCGGTGTAATAAGATGAATATTTTTTAGTTTGAAAACAACGTTAAAATAGTGGCTTAACAATAATAAGTGACAATGACTAGGAGGTTGTAATCAAAGGCGGCATAATGATGAGCATTTTTATTTGTACAATAGTAATATATATATAATATTATATAATGCTATACAAATAAGATGTACCCTGCATGACTGGTAGATGAGGTGGGATATGAAAGGAGTGTGTGCTTGGTGGGCCGAAATGCCGCCACGCCTATCCGCTGGAGCTGGAACATCAAACTGGCTGGATTCGGTAGCAGTTCCGGCGGATGAAGGCGGGCTCAGTATGGCAGCAGGACGGCTACCGCATCACATAGGTTTTGACTAGACACACAATCGTATTTTCTTAATCTAACACTGAACCAATCCAGTAAGAGATTTATTTACAATATAAGAACGACTATATTAGGAATATGGTAGGGAAGGATTTTTATACTACACATAGACCAGATTCGTAAAGCTATAAATGATAAAACACATTTTCGTCAATACATCAAATACTGTAAACTTGTATATTGTTAGGTTTCCTTTTTACGGGTTGTTTGTGCCAAAACATCACTATACTGTCGTTGGCCGTTAAAACAGTTTTAATGCTGACAGAATTTCTACTTCGTAGCAATGATAGGTACCTCTGCCTTCCTCGTTGCCCATACGAACCAATCCGAATTTACGATGCTTTGCAAGATAGATGCTGAGGAATTTGAGAAGTGTCGGGGCCAAGGGCTACTTTAGCTTTATTAACGTAAGCATGACTTTGTTTTGTTAATAGGCAAAATACATGTAGAGATCTTGTCCTATCTTGTCGAGATGTAGTATGTTGAAATGAGATTCTCCCAGCGCGCCTTTCGTCACCAATTAGTCAAGAAGTGGTGTTTTACCATAAACGACTCATATGATATGTGTACATAGATCGATTTTATTTTCGGTAATTTTATAGATCTGTAGGTTCGAGATTGAGCTTGACTCCGTTCTTGACGGGCGTATTGGTGTCGCTCGAGACTGTAATGTTTGATCTTGAAGTCAGTGCGGTGGAATGGTCGGATTTGCTAACGAGGAGGCCCACTTCTTGGGGGTCTTCTCGGCCCCTTGCCACCCTGGCCCTCTCGGACCCGCCCCTCTGGGTCCTCCTCGGGAACACGCTGTTTTCAAGGTGGAGCGTGGCGTTGACCTCTTTGCCAGCGGCGCACGTGCATGCTTTGAGGAAACTTTTTTTGAAGTTGTCGCTGAGGAAGGCGTACAGTATCGGGTTCATAGCCGAATTCGAGTAGCTCAGACACCCCGCGAAAAGGAAGAGGGCGACTGTGAGCCTCGTCTGGCACTGTTTTGGGGGCGTAAATATTAATGCCATCTGGGTTAACCAATATGGAAGCCAGCACAACACGTACACGGTGATCACCGTCAGAACCAGTTTAGTCACTTTTCTGTGCGACTTTTTTTTCTCTTTTGATTTATTCTTCGGTCCTACAGTTTTCAGTTTTCTGATCACAAGAAAGTAGAAGACTAATATGAGCCCGGAAGGTATGGCGAATCCCAGCACGAACGAATAAAGTGTAAACGCAGTTTGCCCGCTTATGTTCTCGCTCTCGGGCCACAAAATATTGCAACTTTTCACTTGGTCGTTGTCCATGATGCTGGCGTACATAAAAATCGGGATCATGAAAATCGCGCTCGCCGTCCAGGCGCTGAGCGAGACTATTTTCGATATAAACGGCGTCCTCATTTTTGGAGCCGATATAGGATGGCAGACGGCGATGTATCGGTCGGCAGACATGATCGTCAGGAAAATGCTACTCGTGAATTGATTGATGCTAGTCGTTGTCATATAAATTTTACAGATGACGTTGCCGAACGGCCAAAGCTGCAGGTGCATCGTCGCTATGAGAAACGGGATTCCGATCAAGAAGCATTCGTCGGCCACAGCCAGGTTGACGATGTACATGTTGGTGACCGTCTGCATTTTCGAGTACCTCAGGACAACGTATATGACCAAAGAGTTGCCGAACAGGCCGACCCCGCAGACCAGCCCGTACAAAACTTGGGTGAATATGTACAACGTAGGGTGATCCAGGCTGTCGCAGTAGTTGACCTCGTTCATAGAGGAGTTGAAGTGAGAATCATTAAAAAACGACGAGTTTTCAGCCGATTCGGCCAAGAAACTTGCTGTTACCATCGACATCCTACTTCGGTCTCAGCACTTTTTGGCAGGCATCTGAAACACATGTGAAACAACAATTAATTAAAAAGAAATATTGTCCTGTGGTATTGTATTTTTTAAGTAAAATTTTAGTTAATAAAAAGAATAGGAAATACCAGCTATCTAGTAACTGATAAATTCCATACCGTAAAGAACGTACATAAGAGTAGTTGGTAACGCAAGAGATAAGATGACTATACTCTGTTGAAGAAAAAGTTTTTTGTTGACAACGGGTATATACTTATATCATGCTGAACACATCAATTATTGTCAGATTATTCATATAAGCAGCATGGGGGTGGTAGGTGACCGCATGGGAACACCACGTTCATTTAATTTTTTTTTTAAATTTCACCTCATTCTGTTTAACTTTTTTTTTGTTGGGGAGGAAATGATATTGTGATATTGCATTTTTAAATATTTTTGTTTATTTTATTTTAATTTTGTTTTGTTTTAATTACCTTGCTCACTGTTACTTATTACCTACTTTAAGGTACAAATTAAAAAAAAAAATTTTTTGTAAATTCTATAGTCAGACAGAAAGTAGACTGAGCTACTGAAAGATAGGTAGAATATGAAGTGGCAATAATATAATATCTTACAATATGTTCTGATACTACCGACCATACTACATAACGAAAAAGATAAAAATAGAAAAAAATATGGGTTGTTTTGCTATAAAAAACCTATCCGAAAAAAAAGTCCGATATTATTGCGGTTTTTTGGGCGCAGATATCTTTCGAATTGGTAACTTGGCCTTTTACTATTGGCTTAAATATATACAAAAATTAAGATAACAAAAGATAATTCAAACGCATTTCAGCCCTGCGCCATCTTCAGTGAAGAAATGTCTTCAAAATAACATTTTTTTGGCTGTTGGTGAACCTGCATAGCACGGTTTACAGTTTATTTTGAAGGCGTTTCCTCACTGAGAATGGCACAATGCCGAAACACGTTTGAATAACTTAAAAATCCGCTAGTGGTGACAGAACCAGTAAGCGACCCTGTGCCTATCCGGCAAAAAAATAGAATACTCTACCTTTTCCCCTGTACATGATGTACATAATGGAATAGTCTTGAAAAAAATATTCTTCTTTCAATAAATTTTGATCAGAAATGTTCTATCAATTATGTGTATCTTTTGGCAGAATGTCTATTCTGTTTATTTAACTCAGGATGATAGGCTGTAAATAATTTATAATTCGCTAAGGTTAAGACGTTAAATGAAAGATCAACAGCAATAAATCCATCTGATTCAAGACAAAGATAAAACCTGTCTTCGCAGTGAAATTTTCTTCCCGTTACTTTAAAACGGCGTATTTTGTTTTCTCGGACATAATCTTAATTAATTAATACATTTTCTTGATTAATATTCCAATTGCTATTACCTGCCCAGAAAGTTCTGTTATTACTTTGGGGTTTCAGATTGTTTGTTCGGGTCTCGGATGGGAGCACTTCTTTTTATTTATTCATGTGTTTAAACTCTTCATTCCTTCCCTCTCCTGTTCTCGACCTTCTTCTCTTTTCGCTTCTATTTCAATTAAGAGAATAGGGAATTTTCCCAGTAAAACTTTATCCCTCTTGTACATTTTTACGCCAATTCACAGAATATTAAATACGCGACGACGCCTTTGCACTGGTTGGAAATATTCCATTATTTCACGGGATCATTGTGACCGATGATGATTACATTTCTGCCCTTGTGTTGAAAATTTGACATAGCTTTTTTTCTAAACCATTGGTAATTATATACACATAAAGCGACGAGTGGAAAAACAACGCCGATTTATCCCACAATTATTAACAAACGAGAATTTCCCCTGGGTCCCACAAGTCGATAATAATTGCGTTGAAATAAAAATGAACGCCACCGAAGGTTTCGGCATTGAATTGCAAATGCCGCAAACATAACTTTTCACCGAAATCGTGTTTTCACATTTATAAATAAAATAACAATCGTAAATTAATAAATATGTAATATGTTAATTATGATTTTAAATAAAAAGACTTGTTTCTATTGAAATGTCTAGGATGGTGCCGTCTTAAAAGATCACTGTGATCCACTTTTAATTATGATTTTAAATAAAAATTTCATAATAAAGACAATTGTTTTACTGCACAATGTACGAGGGTTGTTAGCAATGTGGTTTCATTTGTATTGATGGTTGTATTTGTTTGATGGACGGGCCGCCCTTAATTGAAAACCCGCCTGTAATTCCATTTCAACATGGGACCTGAAAATATACCAATGTTTAATTGTTGGTGGAAATAGAGGTGTTCTTGGTAAAACGTTTATACGAAAAAGTAAAACAATAACGGCAAAAATAAAAATAAAATGGGGCGCATAAGTATCTACAAAGCACATGCTAACAGAATGCGAGGAATTATCGCCGCAAAGAATAAGGTGTGGCCTACCTGTAGATTTTAAACAACTTCTAAGGCAAAGTAGTGGTTATAATAAGAAATCTATTATAGATAGATACCTGAAGCGGAAAAACGTATATGGTCATATATAGGAAGCGCATTCTTACTTAGGTGGAAATAACATCCTTAAGTTGAATGAATGTATTTATTAGCCAGAAGTATAATTTGCCACAAACATACCCCAGAAGTATAATTTGTGATGGAATATGGAGTACTCACAAACACACCAAAGTCTAGGTTATTTATTTTTGTGTGTATTTGCAGTGTGATGGAGGCGTAATATAAAAAATGCTGGTGTGAAAGTGGTTAAGTGTGAATGGACACGGTTTGTGTGGAATATCAAGTACCTGCAGACCTCGCGAACGAATTATGCTAATAGGATAATGAATATGTGATTTTTTCTGGATGTAAATGTATTTATTTGCGTGATTGAGTGGAAGGTGTCACGATGAAAATCGCGTTGCCGGCTTTCCAACCGTAGGTCTAGGTACATAATTTTAGTATAGTTGTTGGGGTGGGGTCTCAGCATATCGAGAATACTTGAGAACCGCCGAACTTAGGTTGCCATGAGTGTGTTTTTGAATTGACTTAAGATATTTTAATCACGTGTAGAAGGGGTGAAGCATCAAAGATAGTGGTAACGAAACAAATGCGAAATAGACAAAAGTGAGGCCGACAATAGGGGCAACCCGGCCTGGGGGACAAACAAACAAATCTCTTTTTTGTCTTGTAAACTGACAAAGATTGAACAAATAAACTTACACAATGTATGTTTTCCTCTTCTTAAAACTATTATCAGACTCAACTGGCCTTACTGCCAGGCATCGTGAGAGTGGCCCGGCCCTAGAAAGGGGGTTGCTGAAGTTTGAGAAAAAAAGCGGGTTGAGAAATAAAAGTGCAATGTCTCTTGGGAGACGAGCATTGCAGTTTAAAAAAATGAACTGTTTCATTGGCTGGAAACCATGAATTGAACTCTGGCTGAAAAAGCAGTACGCCTGGCCATTTGTGTTGCTTCATCCAGCCAAGTAAGTAAAGAAGTAAGTAAAGCCAAATGACCAAGTAAGTAAATTCATAAGAAGTCTGTGAACAACAATCCTCAGCTAACTCCCGTGTTTTATAAGAATTTGTCAATCCCTAAATAAATACGTGTTATCTCTCTATCTCTCCCGCACTTTTTTCACGAGGGTTCGGAACGCAGAGATCAATATCAATCAGGTCGGTGTTTTTGAAAACCGGCATTTCTAAGTATGTCAGGGGAAGGAGTTTCTGAAGGAAATCAAACCTAAAGAAACGAAATGGTTACTCTCTAACTCTAGGAGGGGAATAAGGAGGCTGATAGGTATCCTAACGGGCCATTGCCCCTTGAGAAGACACCTCTTCATAATGGGTACTCTACCAGACCCCTTCTGCCGCTTCTGCGAAACAAAAGAAGAAACGGCTCGACACTACCTCGCAGAATGCGATAGGTATGCTAGGGAAAGATTTAATACTTTCGAAGGAGAGGACATAACCAAAACACTCCCCAGGATAAAATGGTCCACAATCCTGGGGTTTGTGAATAGGTCCAATAGGTTTATACAGGACTCGTGAGCCGACCAGGTCCCGGACCTTTTAGGGATGGGGTACGGGCCTACTCAGGCTTTTAACCCCTCGGGTCTTGGTCGCCCGCCCTGTGTAATATATAAGTATGTCAGGGCCGCTGGATTCGAACCCGGGACCTTTACCTTACAGTGATGAGCACCGTGTCAACGCCTACCTTTGCGGCCACCGACACACCTCCAATAAGTCTATAAGTCAATACGACTTATCCAAATTGTTAGTAATCTCCATCTTTCTCCTCTCAAATCAATCTTTATTTATTTTTCTTACAAAGAATATCCATTTTTTTTAATGATAAACATTCAGGGTCTTTTTTTATGGACAAGATAAATTCTCAATATAAAAAGAAAGACGATAGATGTCACTCGATAGAAAAATAACAGATTTAACACGACACAACATTAAATAAACGTTTGTGTATACGTAATTTGAAAGTTTGTGTCAGAGAAATGTTGGAATCGTTTATCGAAGTGTTTTGGCGTCGCTGCGATACCTCGAAACCATCGGACAGAAAAGGGGAAGAAAGCCAAACTACAACAAACTTGCCACTCCGTTCACGTCGAAATTAAATCACTCTGGAAACTCGATCCATCATACTCATCAGAAATTAATAGGAGGATGCTAACCGCATTAATAGAGGCCTCACTCCTTCAGTCAATCTCTCTTGTAAATCCTATCTTTCCATTACTTTAAGTTTCATAGTGCAAATTTATCCAAGAGTTATCAATTTGAATTTATCAATAAAACGTTTTATATAGTTGAATTTTTATTTTGATGGCGTAATACATCAATGGGAAATGAAAATACAATGACAGTCAAAAAATTCCACCCAATTGATTTTTTATCATTTTCTCGATAAAAGAAAATTCTGCTCTGTCTCGATTGTTTTTACCAATAAATATTTGTTTATGCTGTTTTAAATTGGGAATATCAATTAGAGGTAAGTACCTTAATCCTTTATCCAAAATAATGAAAAAGGATATTTCAATGTT